GTTCCTTTATTGTATAAGATTGTTTTAACTATCCTGGGTTTTTTGTTTTTCCATATAAAGTTGATTATTGTCCTCTCAAGATCTGTGAAGAATTTTGATGGGACCTTGGTGGGGATTGCATTGAATCTATAAATTGCCTTTGGTAGAATTGCCATTTTTACTATGTTGATTTTCCCAATCTAAGAGCAAGGGAGATCTTTCCATTTTCTGGTATCCTCTTCAATTTCTTTCTTCAATGCATTAAAGTTCTTGTCAAATAGATCTTTCACTTCCTTGGTTAGAGTTACCCCAAGATATTTTATGCTATTTGTGGCTATCGTGAAAGGTGATGCTTCTCTGATTTCCCTCTCTGCTCCCATATCCTTTGTGTATAATATGGCGACTGATTTTTTGGAGTTGATCTTGTATCCTGCCACATTACTAAAGGTGTTTATCAGCTGTAGGAGTTCTTTTGTGGAGAAAGGTGTGTGCTCCTAGATATGGCTAGGGTTTTTAGAGTCTTTCTCCCAATTTAGGGTTGGTCAGCTTGAACAAGGACAGGGTGACTGATTGGCCCACAGCTGTGGCATCTGGTTTGCCTTGAATTCATCAGTCTGTCCATCAGCAGGGGGCCATACTTAGAGGAGAAAATCCTAGCAAGCCTTTGTTTTAAGGCATTAGGTTTTTGTCTCAGCCTGCTGTCTTAGAAGTTAACCATTTTTATTACCTAACTGGGGCTTTTTTTTCCCTATCTCTCTGCCTATCATGGAATCTGTCCAACTTCTAGTCTCCCAATCCCTTCTCTCAGAGGTCACTCTGTTATTAGGGATTTTGGGGTGCAGCCACTCTGACTGATTTCCAGCTGTCAAAAGGGGTGATGTAGAAGGGGCAGAAGTTTGAGTGCCTCAGAGGAGAGTTGATCTAATAGGCCATGATTAAACCTAATAGATGGCAAAGACCCAGACATAAGACAGTCACGTGATGACAGTGCACATCCTTGGAGTGTGCTCTGTGAGAGAGTGAGCATCTGTATCGTACAAGAGTGAAACTGTTAGGATTACTATAATTTTTCTTTAATTTTTTTAGATGTTAAAATAGTTGGGGAAGCATATGGTAGGAAGAGGACAGACAAGAAAACCATATAAAAACCCTTGACGGTCTTTATCACAGTTATTAGCAAGACTGATTTTTTTGTCACTATTGTCCATTACAAGATGGCTCAAGAGCTTGAGGCATCTTTTATTGGCAAGCATAAGTTAAGAGGTCCAGCCATTTGATCTCCTTTATTATAACCTTGTGGGGAACATTAAGAAATAAAGTTAATGAAGATTTCTCAACCTCTCGATTAGAATACTTTTGTAGCCCTGTAGAAGAATATGTGACTTTATAAACAGCTTTTGTTCCATCAGACTCCCATGTAGGGAACAAACACCTGGAAGCTTTGGAAGTAAGTATTGATGAAAATTTCCTAACTTCCTCGAATACAAGTTGCTGCTTGCCGGAGGTCCCTCTGTATTTCCCATGTGCTGTACCCGTGAGTAGGACAGCAGCGCTGACCGTCTCCCCTGCCCTCTTCCTTTGCAGATTACTCTTCTGCGGTCCAGAAGTTTTCCCAGACGCTGCAGTCGTTTCAGTTTGATTTCATCGGGGACACTCTGACCGATGATGAGATCAATATTGGTAAGTCTTCAGCAGCGTGTGGCCATGCAACTCAGGAAGCCACCCAGACCCCACGTAATTCCCTTCTCTTCTGGATACGGAGCAGCATGGGGGTGCCCCTCATCCCTTTTGGTCTAGTTCAAGGCCCTAGGAGGCTGCTTAAGAATGCTAAGAAAACATCCTTTTTACTAACATTTCCCCCTCATGTAGAAGCAGTGAAGGGGTCTCCTGAACCTCCACTGAGGCCACTGGCTAGCCTGAAGGGAGACTTTTCTTTAAACCATCTACTAAGTTGACTGTGAGATGTTGGACAAGCTGTTTCCCTTTGAGCCACACTCCTGTCTTCTGAAATTACAGTTAGTATCTCTCTGAAAGCAATTACAGAGGACATTGAACAGGAGGTAAAAGGACCTTTGTGTTTATTTTTATTCTCATGAATTAAAGCAAGGACCTGAGCAAACTAAGGCTCTTGTGCCAAATGCCCCTCCCTACCTCTTTTTGCATGTAAATTTTATTGGGACCTAGCACAGGGATTTCTTTGTGTTCAATGCAAGCTTAGTCTATATGGTGAGCTTCGGGCCAGCCAAAGATGCAACAGTGAGGCCTAGTGCGACCCTGTATCAAAAAAAAGAATATTTTCCAGATGAGAGCGATGAACACACAGCTGTTATGAGGGATAATACTGTTACTAAAAAGAAGTGATGTTTGCAGTTACATTTATAGTCCCAAGGATTAAAATACAAAACATTATGATAAAATCTCATTGTAGCTAATTTGAATGATTTGTAAATGTATAAAGGATGCAATTACCTGTGCTATTCATCCATAGTAGCATATTAGGCATACTGGTATATCAACTTCTGAATATTTTCTCGTATACTTACTATCTTCTTTAAACGATTTTTCTTTTTTTTTTTTCTTGAGACAAGGTTGCTGTGTGTCCCAGGCTGGCACTGAACTTAAAAGAGTTATTTTGTTTTTAATTGCGTATTTCCACATGTATCTGTCTGTAGATATGGACAGATGAGTGTAGTGCTGGAAGAGGCCAGAGAGCCAGATCCCCTGCAGCTGGAGGTGGTTGGGAGGCATCGGTCATGGGTCCTGGGAACCGCAGTTAGGTCCTCCGCAAGAACAGTACCTGGTTTTAACTGCTGAACCATCCCTCTGGTCCCTGGCTTTGAACCCTTGATTGTCCAGTCTCAGCCTCTCAAGTGCTGGGATTGGAGGCATAGATCGCTCATATATCCATGTTCTTCGCATGGAAACTACTTCTTAATGAATATAAAATTTAGACTGGGGATATAGCTCAGTTGGTAGAGTACTTTTCAGCTCTGCAAGAAGCTCCAGATTTGATTCCCAGCACTGCATAAATTGTAAGGGGTTGCACACACCTATCTATAATCTCAGCTCTTGGAAGGCAGAAGCAGAGCATCAGAAGTTCAAATTTATCCTTGGCTGCATAGTCTAGCCTGGGCTATATAGATCCTGTCTCAAGTGTGTGTGTGTACATATTTTTTTAGTAGGCTCAAATGGTGACATTTTATAATTTGTACTTAACATTTTATACAGAAAATTTAATTTTCCATTTAAATTTAAATTTCTTCCTAAGTTTCATGAGAAAGCAAGGACATTGTTTCATCCACTGCTCTTTTGCCAACACCTAAGAGAATGCTAGGTATACATTAGCTGCTGAATGCATGTTTACCAAATGAGAATAATAGATATATCAGCATTAGTATATTTTATTTATATATTTGATATAATTACAGCTTATTTTCTACTTAGCTACTTTTGGGGTTCATCTTATTTATAGTTTTCACTATTTTAGATGGTATCATGATAAATACCTTTGTATTAATAACATTGATGAGTATTTTAATTAAATGTGGTTGTGAACCTAGTGAGGTTGGTACTTGTATTTGAGTTATTACAATCTGATTGGATTTCTTTCTACTTATGCAGGTAGGACCTGGTCCAAGAGCCTGACTTACTAAGATTATCAATGGCTCTGGAGGCCGACAGCCTAAGTTTGACTTGCAGATCTACAACTTATTTAGTGTGTTACTTGGGCAAGCAGTTTCACCTTTTTGAATGTTAATTTTTTTAAATCTAGAAGATGAGTATATAAGTACTTTTTTATTGCTGTGACCAAATTAAGGAAAGCCAGATTTATTTTGGCTCTGTTATTGACTAGCAACTATATGCCAGATACCAAGCTAAATAATTTCCATACATTCTAATCCACATGGGTTATTCTATTTATTCCACATAGACTTATGAGGTAAATTATATTCCATAGTTCACAGAAGAGAACAATGGAGGCTCAATAGGTTCAAGTAACATTGCTAACATCCCACACCTAATACACAAACCTGGAACCTGAAACAGACATGAAACCCCAAAAACTTCTAATTCTGTGATGGTTAATATGTTCAGTTTGACAGGATTATAAAAATACAGAAGAGAAGCTTCAGGACATACTTGGAAAGAGTTATCTAGATTATGTTAGCCTTTCAGAATAACTGTAAGGAAGCCAGACTTGTGGCACAACCCTTTATTCCCAGCACTTCAGAGGCAGAGGCAGACAGATCTCTGAGTTCGAGGTCAACCTGATCTACAAAGGGAGTTCCAGGGCAGCTAGGGCAACACAGAGAAACCCTGTGTCAAGAAAAAGAGAGATAGAGTATCTGTGAGGGGTTATCTAGATTAGAAGAACTGAGTTAGAAGACCCACTGTAAACATGAGCAACACCATTCCATGGGCTTGGGTCCTAGACTTACTAAAAAGGAGAAACTGGACTCTGTACGCATGTTCATTTCTCTCTGCTTCCTGTGGATGCCGTGTGACAAGCTACCTCAAGCATTGCTCAGTCTGTCCCCACCATGGTGAACTGCACAGATAGAGAATAAACTTTCTTTCTCTAGCTAGCTTTTTATCCGATATTTTGTCACAGGACTGAGAAAAGTAGCATCCATCTTAGAAGCCATGCGAGCTGCGGAAAAGGCCAACGCAAACTGAAGGCACAAATGTTGTAGGCTAGAGAGGAAACAAATGCCCTTATTTGGCCTTGAGCTTTCCCCATTGAACACAGACTGTTCAGGGGAAGACCTGGAGCTGAACGTCAAGCAAAGCTTCAGGGAAGTTGGGATTTCTCCATGAGCTGTAGAATCATTTTTATTTCTCCTCGTGTCTTACTTACTTTTCTATTACTGTGATAAGACAGCATGATCAAGGCAACTTACAGAAGAAATAGTCTATTTGGAAATTACAGTTTCAAAGGGCGAGTCCATAACCATCATGGCAGGGAGCATGGCAGTGGACAAGCAGGCATGGTACTGAAGCAGTAGCTGGTTCACAAGTATATGTATGGCAGGCAGGCAGGCAGGCAGGGAGGGAGGAATGGAGAGTGTGTTGGGATGGTGGGTTAAGGAAATGATTGTGGGAGAAAAAGAAAACTATAATTGGCAAAGGCAATGATGTGGACTTTTGAACCCTCAAATCCCGCCCCCCAGTGGCACACCTCCAACAAGGCCACACCTCCTACTCCTTCCCATCAGCTGAGAACCAAGCACTCAAATACATGAGCCTACGGGACCATTTTCAGTCAAACCACAGCACCTAGATATCTGCCATCTACTATGAGCAAATGTACCAAGTTGCCCTTCAAATCTATCATTAAAAGTCCATTATGGAACTCTGGGTCCTCTGCATATTCAATGTAAAATCTAACAGTCTAACTATTTCATCCTAACTAGACTTGTACAAATTCTTGCAGTAAAGCAGAGAGTGTACAACTCAAGGCCAGTAGGACATGGCAAACACTGCTACATCAGCTTCTGGAACAACTGTTTCTTCCCAACGACAGACTTCCATTAAGTCCCCAAGATTTTTGTCTCAAGGACTCCAAACAGCATCAACCTCAGCTGCTGAAGCATTGCCACTTCCTTACACACTACCACAAATCCCAGCTTAGAAAATGACAAACACAAAAGTGTAGTGGACACAGCAAGCCCATGAATTCTCCAAGTCACTCTCCTGTCTCCCTTAACCAAAGTTAGTTTACGGAGTCATAATCTCTGCAGGTATACCCAACTTAGTCCAGAGGCTCATAAGTACCCCTGAACAGCTATGAATGAAGCCCAATACAATGTTTTGAACTTGCATAATTTTTCTAAATTCGATATCGCATCTCTCAGGCGGGAATTTCGTAGATGGCAAGGTTTATAGTGTAAAACAGTTGGACATATCTGCTGCAGCAATAGTCAGGTGGTAGCTGGGAGCTGATAAAGTTGCCAAGTGAGAGGTAGCGAATGGTAGCTGAGTTAAAGGGCTATCATAAACCACATGTTAAGAAACAAAGGTGTCACAGGCAAAAGCGATCAGGGAGACCACAGAAACCTACAGGAATCTAGCAGTGCCAGGAAGTCATTTTTATTGTTGCTTGTCACTATGCTAAGTTCATATACTCTTCTTATTACACAGCACGAGTTAATGTTTATGGTGACATTCAGTGACAGTGTATAATTCTCTCCTTTGTTCATTGTTCTCGAGGAAAATGGGCACAGTGTTAGATCATACTAACAGAAAAAAAGAGGCACTCATGGAATCGGATATGTCATATACATGCAAGTCTTCAATAAATAACAGAAAAAAATAAATGAGATTTAATATTGACAAGGATTTTTACATTGCTAACATTTATTTAGACACTCTACACACCTGTCTTTGATTATCTCGTCCCCATTGTCTTGGTTAATCTGAGAATCTAAAATGGCTGAAATACACTTAAGGGAATGCTCAAAGTCTTTAGCCATCAGAGAAATGCAAATCAAAACAACTCTGAGATTCCATCTTACACCTGTAAGAACGGCCAATTAAAAAAAAAACACTGATGACAACTGATGTTGGAGAGGATGTGGGGTAAAGGGAACACTCCTGCATTGCTAATGGGAGTGCATGCTGGTACAGCCAAGCTGCTTCAGATATCAGTATGGTGATTTCTCAGAAAATTAGGAAACAAC